TTTTATAGAATATTCGATGAATTTTTTTAGCATCTACATTCCGAATATATTGTAGGACAGTACTGAAGACGTTTTTCCTTCACTGCAGTTAAGGAACAGTGATCATGCTCAAAGATCCATTTTAAAAATACAAATTGTGAGCAGAGGCAACACAGATCTCTGAAAACGGGGAAGGGGGGGGGGGTTACACCATTCATCGTCAGGTGTCTTTGTAATGTATATCTTTGTTAGGATTTTTCTGAAGATTTGGAATCCAGTATAGACAATGTAATTCAATTTCAATTTGGTTGTTGTTAAGAATATTGAAACTATTTAAAACTGACAATTGATTTTGAAGACTCTCCTCCTTTACCATTGGCATTGGACAGATTTTTTAAACTATATTTTTTAAAAGCATATGTCAGTTTTAAATAATTTTAATATTCCCAACAATCAAAATGAATTTGAATTACCATACCTATACTGTTCTCCTAATCTTAATAAAAGTCATTACCATACCTATACTGGATTCCTAATCTTAATAAAAGTCCTCACAAAGATACATAGCGGGTTCCAGTAAATGTTCTACCAAGCCTCTTTCTTTTCTTCTCACTAAAATATCAACAGCAGTGAAGGAGAAAATTCAGGAGAACTGTACAACAGTATATTCCTGAAGGGGTGTAAATCAGACATGGATACATAAAAACTCCAGGGAACTTTAAGAAAATTTGAAATCACAAAATTTTACCAAAATCAATAACATCAAAACGTACGATTTTTTTCAACACTTTATACAACCATTCCTCACGATGAATTAAAGGTAAGTTTTTTGACATCATAGACAACTGCTTTTTCAATAGAAATGGAACTCGTAAATTTCCTTACTTGTCATTGGTCATTTGCAAAATTATTTTGTTAAAAAACATTCTGATTGTACACACAAGTACTCTAAAGTAGATGTTAAAAAGATTCTCGAGTTTCTGATTGACAATATCTATGTAGTTTTTGGAGATCAGGTCTTCCAATAATCCTGTCGGAATTTCCATGGGTACCAATCGCTCCCCGCTATTAGCAGACCTATTTTTGTATTCATATGAAGCAGAATTTATTCAAAAACTTATATATGAGAAGAAGAAGACACTTGTGGCCTTCAACTCGACATTTAGATATATCGACAACGTATTATCAAATAACAATAGTTATAATTCATATGTCAACTCGATATATCCCAGTGAACTTGAAATAAAAGATACCACAGAATCTGAAACATCTGTTTTATATTTGGATATTTTACTAGAAAAACGTTTATAGTAACCTAACAAAAAACTTTATGATAAACGTGATGACTTCAACTTTTCCATCGTCAACTTCCCTTACTTATGTTGCAATATACTCTCATCATCTGCATATGGGGTGTATATATCTCAGTTGTTTCGATACGCAAGAGCATGCTCTACGTATGAACAATTTCTAAAACGAGGAAAGGTATTGACAAACAAGTTGATGAAACAAGAATATCAGCAGTCTCGTTTAAAGTCATCATTTCGCAAGTTCTATGGTCGATACAATGACTCCTTATCAATCTTACTCCTCCATGGCACCTGATCCCCCTCTGTTGCATGTTTTTAGAGGTCCGTGTTTGCTCTGCTCCCGATTTTTATTGTTTCAAAAGACTTTTGAGCTTGATTAGAGGTCCGTGTTTGCTCTACTCCCAATTTAGATCTTGATTGCTGTTCGTTATCTCCATATTTCACACATGTATATTAGTTTTTGTTTTGGCTTGTTTTTTAGGTCACCTGAGTCACTCAGGTGACCTATTGCTATCCGTTCTCGTCCGTCGGCGTGCGTCGTGCGTCGTGTGTTAACATTTGAACATTTTTAGCTTCTTCTCTGAAACCGCTTAACCAATTTCAACCAAATTTGGCATATAGCATCTATAGGTGAAGGGGAACAAAAATTGTAAATTTCATGGTCCCTGCCCCCCTGGGGCCTGAGGGGTGGGGCTAAAACCACCAAAAATAATGCAATCTTTAAAAATCTTCTTCTTTACTCCAGGACATCAAGCAGTCAAACTGTTGGCATCATTGTAATAAGCAGTGAGCCCTCTACCAAAATTGTGAAATTCATGGCCCCAGGGTCAGGGGTTCTGGCCCCAGGGTGGGGCTATATAGATCATATAGTGAAAGTGCATTATTTCTTTGAAAATCTTCTTCTCTGCTCCTGGGTATTAAATAAAGTAACTAAGTACATAGTTATGATGAGCAAGAGTGCCTCTTCCAAAATTGTGAAATTCATGGCCCCAGGGTCAGGGGTTCTGGTGTTAGGGTGGGGCTCTATTGATTCTATAGTGAAAATGCATTAATTCTTTGAAAATCTTCTTCTGTGCTCCTGGGTATTAAAGAAAGTAACTAAGTACATAGTTATGATGAGCAAGAGTGCCTCTTCCAAAATTGTGAAATTCATGGCCCCAGGGTCAGGGGTTCTGGCCCCAGGGTGGGGCTATATAGATCATATAGTGAAAGTGCATTATTTCTTTGAAAATCTTCTTCTGTGCTCCTGGGTATTAAATAAAGTAACTAAGTACATAGTTATGATGAGCAAGAGTGCCTCTTCCAAAATTGTGAAATTCATGGCCCCAGGGTCAGGGGTTCTGGTGTTAGGGCGGGGCTCTATTGATTCTATAGTGAAAATGCATTAATTCTTTGAAAATCTTCTTCTGCGCTCCTGGGTATTAAAGAAAGTAACTAAGTACATAGTTATGATGAGCAAGAGTGCCTCTTCCAAAATTGTGAAATTCATGGCCCCAGGGTCAAGGGTTCTGGCCCCAGGGTGGGGCTATATAGATCATATAGTGAAAATGCATTATTTCTTTGAAAATCTTCTTCTGTGCTCCTGGGTATTAAATAAAGTAACTAAGTACATAGTTATGATGAGCAAGAGTGCCTCTTCCAAAATTGTGAAATTCATGGCCCCAGGGTCAGGGGTTCTGGTGTTAGGGTGGGGCTGTATTGATTATATAGTGAAAATGCATTGATTCTTTGAAAATCTTCTTCTCTGCTACTGGAGATTATTTAAACAAACTAAGTGCATGATTATGATAGGCAAGGATGCCTCTTCCAAAATTTTCAAATATATGGCCTCAGTTTTTGGGGTTCTTGAGGAAGGGGGGGGGGGGGCTCTATTGATTATATAGTGAAAAGCATTAATTCTATTAATTAATCATTAATTAATCCTGTCTGCTCCTTAGCATTGAGCTGATAAATAAATTGCTTAGCTATGATGAAAATGTGAGCTTCGAACAGAATTTTTAAATCTTGTGGTCCTAGGGTCAGGAGTTCTGGCATAACTGGGGGGGGGGGGGGGCTTTTGATAATATAGTGGAAAAGTGTTAATTCTTTGAAGTCCTTAGGTATGATGATGAGGGTAACTCTTCCAAATTTGTAAATTTCTTGACCCTTGGTCTTGGGTTCTGGTGTTAGGGTAAGGCTTTGTTGAATCTGTAGTGAAAATGCATTGTACCTGTGAAATTCTTCTCTGCTTCTGGGCATATTGGAAGAAAACTGAGTAAAAGTTTAAATGATGTAAGTAAGCATATTTCTACCAGATTTTTGAACATCTGGATCATTTTTCTAAGCATTCTAGTCCTGGGCAGGGCTCTATTAATTTGTATTCTACTGAGAGAAGTTATTCCCCTTTTCCATTCACCTTTGATAATTAATCACTGTAAATAATGTATTTGAAAGGTTGATAGAATAAGATAATTAAGCAAGAATTTTTATCATATAATTCAAAAAGTATTTTCTTAGTTTTAATAATCAGGTTGACCTGTAAGTAATAGATAAATAAAAATGAGACAAAAATAACTTATCTTATTGAAAGTACTTCAAAGACCATAAGAGAGGTCAATGCTAGAGCTCTTAATATGGGTTTAAAAATAGTACTGAAGAACTAATAGTTTGTTAATAGTCTGCATGGTGATAGTGTTAAGTGGGGGACAGATTAGAACTTAATTTATGAGTTGATATTGAATACAAGACTAATTATTTTGTTGCTCCTGATCTTCCTACTTCTCTTGCTTTAGGGCAACAAAGCTTCATCTATCAGTGTATTTAACTTCTAAATTGTTGTATTATACTCAGGTGACCGTTAAGGCCCTTGGGCCTCTTGTTTTAATTTTCGGTGCTGTACGAAAGCTTGTAGGGGTTTTACTTGTACCTACGCTTCGTATATATACAAGTACATGTATCTCAGAGAGGTGCCATGTCAAAAGTATCACGCCGTGAACCTCTGGCATGCAGGTGGCTTAAGTAGGAAAGATTCCTATATATAAGATATAGGACTATCCATGCACCGCATAGCAATCTGTGATATTTTTATGCAATAAAATTTGTCTATAAAATAATAAAATAAAATAAATTGATTATAATATATACATGTACAATTACAAACCAAAACATATGCAAATTATGTACAATCTGAAATCAAGCATTCTTCAGTGTTCTTAGCATTTTATTAGGAATTTAAATATTTGCATGTTTTCCCACAACAGTGATTCACCAATACTTCGAACATTATTTATGAACTTTTTTTCCTTGGGCTGGGATAAATGTTAGTAATAATTTGCAATTAGGAATTGATAATTTTGTAATTTGCAAAATATCAAAAAAAAATTGTAACAACAAATAAAGAAAAGATACTGGTGTAGCCCATGGAACTCTGAAGCTTTAAATTACAGCAGGGACCTATATACTTAGTATATAGGTCCCTGATTACAGTAACTTTTGAAATAATTTTGAAAATAAAACAAAGTCATACAGAGACATAAATAACAACTTATAAATTTATGCACATGTCTCTGATTTGTATTGAATATTACAGAAATTTACAATTCTTTTAATAAGTTCATGGAATTGAAATCAAGTTATCCAAAGTCTAAATTGAGACTTTTTTTTGAAGTCGGATGCCTGATTTTTCCGGATTATTGATGCGATTTCAATTTTCATTTTAATGAACATCCTGTTTGTATTCAAGATGGAAGACGAGACAGACCACAAGCTCCCAAACTTGAAAATATGCATAGACAATACAGAATCAGACGAAGAAAAACGCGATGCTGTGTCTGTGAATGTTGAGGAGGAACTTGATTACAATGAGGATCTTGATAGCGAAGAGAGTTCGGGGGAGGATGACGTAGCGTTTAACGTCCGCTTGGGAAATTTAAAGAAGTCGGGAGACGTTGGATCGAAAGTCGATGTTCAAGATGACAGCAGAATGATAAAATCAAAGTCAGAGAGTGAGGAAGGGGAAATAAGTGATTCCAGTGATGATACTCCGGTTGAGTTCAATGTTAGATTAGGGAAGACTCCTGTCAAGGGCCAATCCACAGGATTTCTAAAGGTGACAACTATAACCTTACAGTTTATGAGATTGATTCCAAAGAAGTTAAGGATTTTCTGAGGGATCAATCTCATGTAGTGGGTATACAAAAAAACTTGTTAACCAAAAGTTGTCGCTTTTTAAAGTATTATGATGCAGATTTATAATATTTATAGCTAAACAATGCTAAGAAAAAATCTTAAATTTTTTGCACTGTAAATTTAAATCCCATTTGGTATTTTTTAGCCCATTGGTAAATGGGCTAATCCTATTTGAGCACTTGGCCCTATCCTGATCAAGAAAGGGAAGAAAACCAAATTTTTTTTTTTTAACTGTTGCAAATAATTTCTTAAACAGGTACCTGAAAGCCATGATTCTAATAAAGATGAATACCACAATGTAAGTCATTACAATTGTCAAACTCTTTCTACAGAATAGAACATATTTATAATGCTTCATTCCTTTCCCCATTCCAGGAACGAAGCATAATCAATCGTGGTTTTCCTAGGATGTATCTGCACTAACTATCTACCTTTTGAAAATTTAGTTTGGTAATCGTCTTTATTCATTCATCATTTTCCATACATTTTTATTTATTTTGAAGAAAAAATCAAAACCCAAAGCAGACAGAGCGAGAAGACTCGGGATTGAAATATCTAAGAGGGATCCATCTATCAATTTACCAGAGTTATACAGGAGGTGTGCATATGGTTGACCATTATTCTCAATTGAAAAGATTTGTATTTCTGCTCTTAAAGAATATCGGGGAACTTCCTGAAAATAATCAGCTAATTTGATATTATTTAAGAATAATTTTCTCTTTGTCCTGTTTTCTAAAGTCTGGGTCTAGAGGAAGACAAAATTGATGAAGATCATCGTGGAATTCGCTTGGAGGCCATTCATTTTCGTGGACTTAAAGACATGAACACAAAGGATGTGTTCGAATACTACAAAGAATTTAATCCTGGAAATGTTGAATGGATTGATGATCAGTCATGTAAGTTTTCTTAGATTTCGTGTATGCTTCTCTTATGTGATGGGACATAGAATGATGAGCAGTTACTCTAGGAATGGGAAATAATAAGTGGGTGTAAATGTTGATTTGTTCATTTGTTGAAAAAAGACTACTATAGATCAATGTATGATATTTTACTCCTGTGGAGGTTACCTTTTTTGAATAATATGTTTTTTCCCCTTCACTTAAACCTAACATTTAACTCTGTTTAGGTAATGTTGTGTGGCAGGATCCATTGTATACAGCTAGAGCCATGCTGAAACTAAGCAAGAGCTTTGAGGAGGCTACATTAGGTGACAGCAGGGCAGAGGAAACCTCAGAGTTAGACACTGGTAAATATACATAAGGCCATAATAAAAAAAAATTCCTAGATTCTCATCCTCACCCGCCCTGTTTTTTTTTTTTACCCCGCCTTGATTTTTTTTATTTTTGTTTTTCTTCGTCTTTTTACTGATTGGGGTCGGTATTAAACTTACCATTCAACTTTCGTTTTATATCCCGTGAATGTCAGCATGGTTTTGACAGCTGAAAAGATGGTTATTGCTGTAAATATATACTAAACAAAGATCATTGGTTGTGAAAGATAAATGAGGATGTATAGTCAGTGATATGTGTATTTAAATGGACATCTACTATGACTTTATTAGGGCATAATCGATAAATCTGCGCCGATTGATCAGGTCAACAAAAATCTGTATAATGGAAAAAATATAAAATAAAATCCACAAATGCCTTGATTTTTAAAAGAAATTTGGATGAGAATCTAGGAATTTTATTATTATAGCATAACCAGTACTGTTACATACTTGCAGGTAAAATTATAAATCACTGAAATTTTATCTGCACAATGTTCATTCCAAGTTTTCACTGAACAGTGTTCATTCTGTTTTAGGACATGTAGTGAATATGATATGAATCACAAAAACATATATACTTATTTATATATTTATATAATCTAATTCTGTCAGTTTTTATGCCCCTGCTCCAAAGGAGAGGGGGTATACTTTTTTACCTTTGTGTGTCTGTGTCCGTGTGTCTGTCTGTAACAAATTTTCGTCACAGTTTTCTCAACAAGTACTCAAAACAGATGCTTGAAATTTTATCACACTCTTTGTTTAGGCATGCCTTATGGTGGGATTCAATTTTTTTTCAAATCTGATATCAACTTCCTGTTTATCCGTATGTCTGTCCATAACAAATTTCTGTCAAAGTTTTCTCAGCAACTACTCATCACAGATGCTTGAAATTTTAGCAGTCTTTGTTTAGGCATGCCATATGGTGGGATTCATTTTTGTTCAAATCCAATGTCAACTTCCTGTTTATCTGTGCATCTGTCCATATCAAATTTTTGTCGCAGTTTTCTCAGCAACTACTCATCACAGATGCTTGAAATTTTAGAACAATCTTTGTTTAGGCATGCCAAATGGTGGGAGACATTTTTGAATGAATTCAATATCAACATGAGAGGGTATATTCACATCAGAGAGGGGGTATTACTAATGAGCATTCGCTCACAGACATCTTGTTCCTATGAATTTAGATAAAGACAAATCAAAGGAACCAAGGAAAAAGAAGCTGGTGAAGAAACAGAAGAAGAAAGACAGCAGCAGTAGTTCATCTTCCTCGTCTTCATCCTCTTCTAGTTCATCAGAGGATGAGGATGAATCACCAAAAAGGAGAAAGCCAGTGAAGAAGACAGCACCCTCCTCAAACAAAGTCAGATCTCCTCCCAGTGAGGTGTCCAGTCAAAGTGAGAGGAAGACAGACACCCATCCAGAGAAGATGGAAGAAGATGAAGATGTGCTGGATTTGATGGATGATGGAGACAAAATAGAAAAAGGAACCAAAGACGTGGAAGTCAGTGAAAAAGACAAAAAGTCAGGTGAGTAAAAAGAAATATAAGCATTGCATTATATGTGCCATCCTGATGTGTATACATATGATTTTGGGGTCACTTTGGTCACTCAGGTGACCTATTGTCATCCGTTTTTTTCGTTGTCCATTGTGCATTAAATTTTCAGCTTCTTCTCTGAAATTGCTTAACCAATTTCAAACTAATCTGGCATATAGCACTACATATGTATTACTGAAGAAGAACAAAAATTGTGAATTTTATTGTTCCTGCCCTTCTGGGGCCAGAGGTGGGCTAAAATCATCAAAATTAATGCAATATTTAAAAATCTTTAGTCTGCATATCAAGCAATCAACTGTTGGTATGACTTTAATAATCACTGAGCCCTCTGCCAACATTTTGAAATTCATGGCCCAGTGGTTGGGGGTTCTGGTGTTAAGATGGGGCTCTACTGAATATATAGTGAAAATGTATTACTGGGTAATTCTTCAAAATTCTTTTCTCACCTCTATAAATTAAGCAGACAAACTAAGTGTATCGACATTGTTTATAATGAGCAAAACATTTTTTCTCATCAAGTGCTTGTGGTCAGTCTGGTTTCTGTTCCGTTTTGGGGGTGTAGATGGTTTTAATTTTCTGTATAAGCCAGTGCTATCTACATACTATCACCAAATGTAACATTAATGATTTAGCATAAAACACAACATTCACATAGTACACCCATATTTATTTTGTTTCAGATAATGCTTAGATTTTTTACAGGGTTGTATTATACTCAGGTGACCATTAAGGCCCCTGGGCCTCTTGTAATATTACTTCTTTCTCTCTTAAAAAATATCTTTTAGAATATTGGATAATTTTAATTTCATAATGATAAATTCTCAAGCATTAAAGAATAAAATTTCTAGTAAGTTTTCTGCAGTTTTATGTTTCTTTCTCCAGAATCATCAAAAGTGAGCAGTAAAAAGAAAAAGCCAGTCATGGAAACAAGTGTGTCATCATCAAAGGAAAGACAGTCTAGAAAAGATAAAGCCAAACAATCAAAAAAAGCCAGGGAGTCCTCCAGTAGCAGCTCATCATCTTCATCTTCATCATCATCGTCATCATCCAGTCGATCAGGGTCATCGTCTTCTTCCTCCTCCTCCTCATCATCATCCAGTGGTTCCAGCAGTGGAAGCAGCAGTAGCTCTTCTTCTTCATCTGATGAGGAGGTAAGAAATTAATTTTACTAAAGATAACAATCTGCATCAATTCATGTATGTCTAATTTGTACATGTCCCGTGGATTCATGTTAATTTGTGGGAGTCTGTGTTCCTGGGCAGCAAAAATTTTACTGGTTCGTGGGGTCATAATTTCATGGCTAAATCAATGATTCAGTGAACCAATACATTCACAAAGTTCATGTTTGTGGGGATATAAATTCATGGGTAAGAATGACAAATGAACCCTAACACCATTGGTCCTTTGCAAACAGTGTGATTCCACAGTATTGTAAATGTGTAATAGTAGTATTTGACACTGGAGTTTGGGTTCAAATTACATGTACATTCATTTATAGAAAAAGACAAAGAAGGAGAAAGTTGAGAAGACAAAAAATGAAAAGCAAGTCAAAGAAAAACTTAAATCAACCAACTGGAAGCCACCAGACATCCCTTGGCCTCCTGGGAAGTGGCGACTTGGCAAGCCTTACAAAAAAAACAAATATCTCTTCTTGCGATATGCCATGAAAAGTAAATGTTATAATCTTTGTAAAAATTAATAGCTATTATTTTTTGTATTTCCATCCAGAATCATTTTAGGAATTTTTATGCCCCATCATAATATGGCCAGGGCATATAATGTTTGTCATGTATTTCTTCAGTCCTTCGATCTTCCATCAGACCTTCTGTCACACTTTGCATTTAGCGCAGTTTCAAAGAAAGATATTTTTATCAAACATCATTTGCTGATACATTTTGATGAGAGCTATTCAACTGCATGAACATTTTTTGACTTTGACCTTTCTTTTGACCTTAACCTCACTTTTCACAAATTTGTGTTTAGCTAAGTTTCAAAGAAACTTTTCAAGATATTTTTATTAAACTTTATATGCTTATACATATTGATGAAAAATATTCAATTCTTTCATCATTTTTGACCCTGACCTTTTCTTTGACTTTGACTTTATTTTTCTCAAATTTGTGTTTAGCTCAGTTTTAAGACACAAATCAAGATATTTTTATAAAATTTCACTTGCTGATATACATGTATTTTGGTGAGTGCAAATGAACTGCATCAAAAATTGGACTTGATTTTTCTTTTAACCTTGACCTCACTTTTCTTAAATTTGCATTAAGCTCAGTTTCAAAGAACCTACGGTATTCAAGATATTTTCATTGAACTTCATATACATGTACTACATGTAATACAAAATTTCATGTTACATTACTATAATGAACCCTGGCAGAGCATTCATGTCCTATGGACATATTTCTAGTATTTATTCTTAATAATAAGATGATATCCTTGAATTAGTATATTATGTATATTTCTCTAAGAAAATATATTTTTGATTATTACTGCACTCTCATACATGTACCTGTATTTTTTAAGCTGATAGGAAGTTACCTGGTAGAGAGAAGTCGAGCAAGGCCTATCAGAAGTACAGTAGTGCTAATTACACAGGTGAGTACACAGACTTTTTTTTATTGTATCAGTGCTCTAAATCAGTTCAATTTTAACTTAAATTTAACAAACTTTTAGCGAACTTTTTTGGTTTTTTATTTCAGGAGAGAGAGGTCTGATCAGCAAATCTAGGTAAAATTTTAATTGTTTTTTAAGTGTCAAGAAAAAATTATTTTGGTAGGGAAACACTACAAGAAATCAGTAAATCTGAAAGCCATAGGAGAGTTAGGGCATTGGGATTGATGAAGATCTTAGTCTTCTAATTTAGAATCAATTTAATTGCAGTTTAAATTTAATTTAATTATTTCTAAAGATTTCGGGTACAGTTTATATTTAAATTTTTCAGTCAAAGTGAATTGGATACAAATAATGAAATATAGATTTTTTTTTTTTTTAAGGAAAGAGACATTCCGTACAAAACAGCTGAAGGAACAGAGAGGAGAGGCCAGGACTGCTATATCTGTACAGAGGTCAACTATAAACTATAATGATGTAGATATCTTTGGGGATGACACAGTTAATGTCAAAATGGAGACAGATGAAATTGAAGAATTTGGTAAAAATACAAATAGATTCTTCGAATAAAAAAGTTACTTGTGTAACACTTGCATTATAAACTTAAGATAGTTAGGTCAGCACTCTGTGAATGCTTTCTGCCAATCAGCCAATCTGCTTTTGTTTGTCTTATCATTCATTTGTCATACATCTGTTTTCTTCACAAGAACAATGAATTTTAAGACCTTATGTAAAAAATATTGAAATTTCTTATTAGGTGCCAAGCCCCAGAGTAAACGGGAGATAGAGGAACGATTGAGGAGTATTCTAGGTGGGAAAACCCCCAAAGAAGAGGAGGCAGAGAGCGAGGAAGAACCTCCTCCACCAAAGGAGGAATCTGATGATGACCTTGACCTCACAGAGGGCACCAAGGTCCCAGAGGTCGACGAGGAGGCAGCGTTGATGGAGCAGGAGTTAGACATTTTGTTGGCTTCACCTCAGAAGAAGCGAACAATGAGGATGTATGCTGATGATGTGGAAGAGGAGAGGATCAATAAGAGGTGGGGCTTAACTTGTGTACAGCTTGTATGTACTACAGTGTATTTGTACATAAATGTATCTTATCCCCATTCAGACAAATTTGTAGAATTTTCCTAAATATGACCTTTACTTGGCTTATGTGTCATATTATTAAGGGTTTTGTTTTTCTTTCCTTTTTGGGGCTTAAAAAGTGTATATCTACTGTGGAATCACTTTAATTCATGAAGATTGATGTTTTATGGGCAAGCAAATTTTAATGATTAGTGGGGATATAATTTCCTGGGTAACTTGTTTATACAGAAAATTCAAAGAATCATCAATATATTGACAAAATGATCATTAGTGGGTAAGAGTTACCATTGGTCTCTCACAACAATTCCATATTATGATGATTCCATATAATGTGATTTGTAACAACAAATGTAATAACACTGTATTTTATTTGTTTTTCCTGCTCTTAATTTTATGCTGAAAAAAGTTCTTTATAGATTGATGTCTGTTGGTGATTAACTAACTTTAGAAAACTTGAAATATTTTATTGATTTTGTTTAGGTTACGTAAAACAAAAGAGACACGGTCGAGTGAATCTCCTGAGTTTTCACGGTATAGAGAATATTCTCCAGAACCCCGCCGCCGAAAAGATGCAAGGGATAGAATCTCTGGGAAATCAGTAACCATGACCACATCTGGGCTTTCTTCTGGAGGATCTGACCTCCGCAACAAATTGAAGGCCAGTCGAAGAGTGCCATACAACAAACCGTCATCTTATGACCAGTACCACAGCGTGAGGGTGGAGGTCCGGGACTGAGAGTTGGGGTCAAGGTTACTAGGACATTTCAGACAGAACAATTTACTCAGAAGAAGGACATGTTTTTTTTATTTTTTCATGAAAAAATATTTTCATTATTTGTACAATTTTAAGACTTGTTATATGAAATTAGATGTTCTGTTTTCCTTGATGTTTGTTTTGACTGGTAATTTATTCTGTAAGTATTTGTGCTGTTGATTTGTGATGTTGAATACATATATTTTATAGCTTTGAACACACCCTAATATTGAGTCTTATTGTATGTCGATACATGTAATTGATAAAACTATCATTTTATTTTTTCATCTTCTTTTAAGGTTAATTTTATAATAAATATTCAGCTGAGCTTAGAATTCCTGATTTGCAATCCCTTTTAATAGCAAAACTTTTTTTTGAAAAATTGCAAATTCAAGTAATGTACATTTTTTTCAATGAATTGTACCTTGTGTTTAAATGAATATGAGAGTCTACTTTAAGGAGCATGGATTTGGTAAGGAAGCTTTTGCTATAGGCATTTTTTTATGTTCAGGAAGTGTTTCTCTCTGAAAGTGGTTACACTTATAACTTTTAAATGTTTGGATGTGACTGACATTGACCTTAAATGTGTATGTGTAACAAGTGATTCAGGGGAATTAAAAACATTAAATAAATATGAAAACACTAAACAGCGGTGTTCTAAATTAATTCTGAGTTGAACCCACCTTTAGTATTTCAGATAATGACATTTGATAGTTAAACTAGACTTTTATATATTACTAAACCAGAAAATCTGTAATTGGGAGGCAAGTTTTATATTAAGAAGATTAAAATGAGCAATATACTGTAAACATCTTTAATTCCATGTGTGTATAATTTCAATGTTGGAAAATTTCACTGTTTTATTTCACGGTCATTGAAATTCTCCTCATTTTTGCAATCTCAAAATTGAAGAACAAAGTTATTTTAAAGAAATGTATCCATTAACCAATTATCTCTGGTTTCCTCTGGTTACATTGGCTTAATGTTTGCAGAGAATTCCTGTTATTGTGATCATAGTGAAATTAAAAACTATCATAATGTATTCCACTTTTAAAGTTGTCAGTCTTGACTCATTGTCATATGTAAAGGTCACTACAAAATGAGAGGTTAAAATCATTCAGAAATCTTGTTAAATTAATTAATTTCGAATCTTTAAAAGATGTTTAATCTCTTCCATTTAATCATTGTTTTGAGAAATACTGGCACTTTGTACATCACATGAAGATTGCTTATATCCTGACCTGATGTCATGACCTTGGTAAGCCTATTCAAGGTGAATAGATATGCAATGAAAGCATGAAATAATAAAAGACAAATTGTTAACTCAAGGATGCAATGTTAGGAGTTTAACTTACCATCAAGGTCATTTGGGAAAATGTGGAGTGGAGGCATCATTCTGTGAATTTATCCACATTGTAATGTACCTCTAGTTTAACTTGTCAGGTAAGGAATTACACTATAAATACACCAACCCTTACTCTGACTGGGATTAATTGATACATCTATCTCACAGGTCAATTTTGTAGGATTTAGAAGGGAAGCCACATCCCTTCTTTTCTTTAAAAAAAAATTAGTATTAACTACAGTGTATTCAAAAGCAAACAAGCAAATTCAAAGAATTGTGGTCCCCGTTTGGGTGTCTTAGTGGATGGGATGCCATTATTTATGGCATATTGTAACTGTCTTGGTCAAACTTCAAGGGGTCAAAAATCATGTATATTTGGAAAGGTCTTGCCACAATAATGTACATGTCAAATATGAAAGCCCTATCTCTTCTTAATCAAAAGTTATACCGGTAAGTAAAGATTAAAATTTTTGAAAACTAGTTTAAACTTCAAGGTCACAGGTTCAAAAACCATAATACATTTGGAAAAGTCTTATCAAAGTACTGTACTTGTGTAATATGAAAGTCCTACCTTTTCTCATTCAAATTTTATAACCAATTTAAAGTAATGTTAGAATATAGATTTTTGAAAAGTACGTCAAACTTCAAGGTCATGGGGTAAAAAATCATAGTACATTTGGAAGGTCTTGTCACAGGTAATGTACATATCAAATATGAAAGCCCTATCTCTTCTTAATCAAAAGTTATGAGCAAAGATGAAAGTTTTGAAAAGTAGGTCAAACTTCAAGGTCAAGGTCGCAGGGTCAAAAGTCATAGTACATTTAGAAAGGTCTTGTCACAGGTAATGTACATGTGTAATATGAAAGCCCAATCCTTTCTCATTCAAAAGTTATGACCAATTTAAAGTAATGTTAAAATTTTTTAACTACAAGGTCAAGGTCACAGGGTCAAAAATGCCATTATACACTTTCACAAAAGCGGGTGACAATTAGGAATATCCAAAGCACAAAACAGATGTATCACATTTATTTACTATACTCACATGTTGTACATAATCATGTATATCACCAAAAAAAAATTTGGTATGCATCAAAATGTACATATTTGCAACTCATAGTTTTTTTTTCAGAAATGAGAAAATTCTCGCATTGCCTTTTGACTTTCAATTTGAAATAAACAGATTTTATTCAGAGTTCTGTGATTCTGTCTCTACCAGGAGCTGAAGTCCTTAAACTTGGCCCCCTCAATTGCTGCTTTCTTTTTGACTGTGGGGGGAGGAGTGTCCTCTGCTGACCGCTTCCTGTAAAATAAACATTGTAAATACAATAATATTGACTTTCCATTTGTCTGTTTACTGTGTATTTAAGGTTAATTACAATAACATTTCTTGCACTTGACTTTGTATTTTGTTTATATGTAAAATTGTTCATGTACCTCCTATACCATTGTATGGTCTGAGAGTAATAAACAAACAAACTATGTGTAAGTTGTATCCACATATATGTTTATACATGTAAAATTTGTTTAATCGGCAATGGCAGCCATAACCTTCAATTATGATTAAAAAAAATAATCATATATAGATGTTGATTTTTTTCTTCTTCACACACACAAAATAATAATAACCAGACAAAAACTATATATGAACATTGAGGAAGGGTACAGGTTGTTTAAAAAAAATTCCCTATGCAAAATTTCATCAACAAAAATTTATTTTGATCCAAACTTAGAGTAATGCATGTATCTTACAGTGCTGTAGGATTGATGTACTTTCCAACTCCCTTTTTGTAAGTTTTAGGGGTGTCATCCTCGGGTTCTTTCTTGTACACATACTTCCTCTTTGCTGCCACTTCATCTTCCTGTTTTTGTATCAGTTCCTCCCTCTTTGATGCCAACTGACAATAATTAAAACATGAGTATTTCCATCTCATACCTTTCACACCACAGTGTTGGGAAATTTAATTTCAACTTCATGTTTTCACTTAAATTAATCTGAATATACATTAAAATTTCTCCACAGGTAAATTCAGAAGATTTACCTCTTCATCTGCTTCCTCATACGGATTCACAAAAACACGACAATCCTCAATCACAATGTCCTTCTACAATGAAACAAATGCATGTGTTTGTATCAATCTACCAGTACATGTACATTGAATGACTATCTTTGCTGTACACAGAAATACTATCTATCTATGAATCAATCATTTACCTTAGATTTAAACTGATGGCTACCTTTGATATAAACTGGTTGTCTACCTTTGTTATAATCTGATATATACCTTTGTTACACTCTGATAGACTATCATTGTCTACCTTTGTTATACCCTGATTCTCTACATTTACCATACACTGATTGTCTACCTTTGTTATACATTGATTGTCTACATTAAACATACACTAATTGTCTATCTTTGTTATACACCAATTGTCTACCTTTGTTATACTCCAGTTGTCTACCTTTGTTATACATTCATAGTCTACCATTGTTAACTGATTGTCTACCTTTGTTATACACTGATTGTCTACCTTTGTTATACACTGATTGTCTACCTTTGTTATACACTGATTGTCTATCTTTGTTATACACTGATTGTCTACCTTTGTTATACACTGATAGTCTACCTTTGTTATACACTGACTGTCTACCTTTGTTATACACAGATTGTCTACCTTTGTTATACACTGATTGTCTACCTTTGTTATACACTGATTGTCTACCTTTGTTATACACTGATTGTCTACCTTTGTTATACACTGACTGTCTACCTTTGTTGTACACTGACCATCTTCCTTTGTTATACACTGACTGTCTACCTTTGTTATACACTTACTATCTTTGTTATACACTGACTGTCTACCTTTGTTATACACTGATTGTCTACCTTTGTTATACACTGATCATCTACCTTTGTTATACACTGATTGTCTACCTTTGTTAAACACTGATTGTCTACTTTGTTATACACTGACTGTGTACCTTTGTTATACACTGACTGTCTTCCTTTGTTATACACTGACTGTCACCCTTTGTTATACACTTACTGTCTACCTTTGTTATACACTGATTGTCTACCTTTGTTATACACTGATTGTCTACCTTTGTTATACACTGATCATCTACCTTTGTTATACACTGATTGTCTACCTTTGTTATACACTGATTGTCTTCCTTTGCTGTACCTTGATTACACGTGATTGTTTACCTTTGGTCTGTCTTTCTTATCCACTTCAATCTTCTCCACTTTGTCCAATGTATCCAGACCACCAACAACTCTGAAATAAGACAAAAAAAAATGACAAAATGCTTAATATCAAGAACTAATTTCAAAATGGCTTAATACAGTTGCTTTACAACGATGTTTTGTTCCTACCTTCCAAATATTGCATGCTTTCCATCAAGATGTTTTGCTGATCTAAAGGTGATGAAGCTAAAACAAAGAGCACATTAATCTTTGTAATCCAATTATAAATTATATCTGTTTTATTGTAATTCTCTGATTGTATTTTAAATTTTCTCTATTTTTAAACTGATTTGTGTGAGATAGGTTGGGTTTAATATGACTTGACTTACAATTGTGACTTGTTGGTATTTGGCCCTGAATTGGCCATGCTCAGTAAGCCATGGCCAGTGTGAGATAGGTTGGGTTAGATCTGACTTACAATTGTGACTTGTTGGTATTTGGCCCTGAGTTGGCCATGCTCGGTATACCATAGGTTGGGTTAGATTTGACTTACAATTGTGACTTGTTGGTGTTTGGCCCTGAATTGGCCAAGCTCAGTATGCCATGGCCTGTGTGAGATAGGTTAGGTTAGATTTGACTTACAATTGTGACTTGTTGGTATTTGGCCCTGAGTTGGCCATGCTCAGTATACCACGGCCTGTGTGAGATAGGTTGGGTTTGATTTCATCATTAAAGGCTCCTCCCCAAGCTGATTCTCCACCTACAATTGAGTCAAAATCTTCTCAGGACACATCAACAAACAAATTGCTGAAGTAATTTGAATGTTTCGAATTAACTGCAACTTTAATTTCTTTTTTTTATACGCAAACAAAAGAAGTTTAGGAAGATACACATGTACTGGAATCCCCATGTCCATATGTCTCTCCATAGACTTTTTTGTCCAGAGAATACATATATTTCTAAAACTACTGATTTCGAAGAGTGAAATCCACATCATAATTTTGTAAAGGCATAACATTAGAAGATCAAACTTGACCTAAAGGTTGTTAAGTTCAAAGAATATGTCATGACCCAAAGTATGCTCATTCTTTAGTTGCCTTTGGGAGAATTAGTCCCATTAGGACAGTGCTAGTTCAACTGTTATATTTACCTGTTCCCGTGCCTGTTGGATCCCCACCCTGGAGCTATAAATGGAAAACACATAAATCAATGTAACATGAAATGTAAACCACAAAAAATCACAAGCATATATTGGTATTACAAATAAAAAAGGAAAAAAGAGGAGTAAAATACCGTAAAATAACTATGTTTCTTACCACAAAGTTTCGAATAAGTCGATGAAATTTTGTGTCTCTGTAGTAACCCTTCTGACAAAGCTTAATGAAATTTTCACAGGTCTTGGGCACCTATAAATCAAGGTACATGTACAGTATTTATTACGAAAGTCACTAGATCACTTTCAAAGTTGACGAAATTTGAATTTAGAAAAGCTAGTCAATTAACTTTATGTTACAAATTTTTTCTACACTTATCATCTACATTGTTTAAACTATGAAGCTGAAATCACTTATGCATTCTTTGAAAATGGTATATGCTATCAACTTGAAAGTTCATTCAATTATTGCACATGTATCTGCTCTTGGACAGACTTGGTCAAGTTGATACTGCTGAGGGTAGCTGCTTTATTTGGACGTACTGTGTAGAACTTTTGATCCAGACTTACCATTTCACAGTGAAGTTCCAGATTCAGAAGACCATAGTTAGTAATCAACGACACGTAGCCCTTTTTCCCATTCTTCTTCACAATTTCATATCTCAAAACATCCTCATCAATGATGGCTGGAAAGAAATACATTGTATTCAAAACTCTAATGATTGTAAAACCCTATTAAATATAACTTGGTAAAAGATAAAAAAAAAAATAAACACCTTTGGATTTTATGAAGAACTAATCTGGAGAGAGAAAAAAACACTGACAAATAAACACTGATGAATATTATAGATTAATGATTAGTACCTGCTTCATGCTGAGTTGTGGGATCCATGGCTGTCGATGTGAAAGAGGCAGCCACACGCCCTGTGGAGTAGTGGGCCTGTAACATAAAGTTGTTATTGTAATTATATGTCTGTATTGAACAAAAAAATAATTACTATAATGCTAAATTGTAAAAATTAGTCAAAACATACAGCATTCAGAAAGTCAGCCTTCTTCTTTTCTTCATCTTTCTTTTCCTACATTGAAATGAAAACTGAATATTACAAGAAAAAGATTTTTTAAAATTATCAAAAGCTACCCCAGTACATGTATGGACAATGTATACAATTATCTTCACAGACTTATCTTTTACTTTTTTCAAATTTAAATTGTAAGAGATAAATTGATTCTTGTCAGTTTGTTTATTAATTATAATGTCAGAGTCCTACTGCTGGTTTATAGTCCCTCTCGAGTTCTGATAGGACGTCTCGGGTTTCCGCATTCACAGACTTCAGATGATACATGGGATTTTTCCGAGCTGCGTCATCATCTACGGATAGATTATAAACTTTTGTTCAAATAAAGCTTAATATACCTGACTTACTCTTACATGTAAAGCATAAAAATTTACTCCCAATTTTTTTTGGCAAAATTTCATAGAAAAAATTTCAGTACATATTTTAAGATTAAATTTACCTTCATCTCCATACTTCAATTTCTTTCTTACATGATAGAAGGTATTTAAATTAAATTTGTCCACATTTGTTGGGTCCTGAAAAACAAGAAAATGTACCAGTGTTTAGAATAAAGTTTATCCATAATTTACACACTGTGTGGTTTGTTTCATTCCTCTGCCAATGTTTGGAATTGCTCTCTGTTTTTTAAACACTTGTTTTTTTATCATATATTGTGTTCCCTTTTTTAAAGCTTTATTCTTAACTTTTTCTCCACCAGTGCATTTTAAGCGACTTTGGAGACCTTTTGACATATCATTATAAATTAATTTTCTGTTTTCGTGAAGTCATGTTTTAACACGCTATCGGTCATATTGACCGATGTGGTAGAGAAGGGGTTAAAATAAAATGTACAAAGTTTGGCACAAAAGATTCCTCACTACAGCATGTCTTATGACACATGTATATACTACTAATATGTAGTAATATGTATATACAGTGTACAAATACATGTGAGTAAAAGTATGCAATATTGTGATAGTTCAATATGATGTATTGCAATATGTTTGTGCAATACAATATTTGCAGTAATTACTGGCTGTCTGATAAGTTTTAAAAAAGCACATGTCAACTCTCTCTAAATTTTTGAAATGAAAAAATATTAAAAAAATACAAGAATTTTTTAGGTCTAAAATAATTACATTGTACACGTGATATTAGTATAAAAGCTAGGAGTTCAGTAGGTCATATGCACATCTAAAATTGGATGATTCAGGTAAATCTTATACAAATGATCTCTGTTAGACAAGAATTTGATAAAATGCAAAATTACTGCAATATAGACTATACTGATATATTGTAATATGATTTTCCTAGGTTTAATAGCTCAGTTCTATAGAGGTTATTAATTTAGCAATCAATCCATCATCTTACCTGTATGGTGATGATATCTTTTCTTGTAAATGGTTCATCTGTCAACAAGTCTTTGAAGAAACTGGGTTTTATGTTCAGTCTTTCAACAGCCTGAAATTTCAGTTGTTTGTGTATTAGTGTTTACAAGTGATATACGTTTTAATCAAATCTGCTTGATATCAAATCATCACTAGAATCTTATTAAACAGTAAAATAGACCAAATAAATAGACAATCTATGTACAAAATACATCAAATTTTGGAATGCAAAACATTAAAAATAAATTAATTCCACCAATGTATATCAAATAAAATCAAAATAGTTTGCTTTGTCTTTTTTAAAAATATATATTTACCAAATTTGATTACTTCTACTGTTAAGTCATATCATCACAGAAAATACATTAAGTCAGAGAAAAAAAGGGGGAGGCTTACATCCATACAGAAGACATTTCCTGTAGGTTTGATGGCCACAATATGTGTGTTCTCATTGAATACTTTGAATGTGACTGGACAGTGATATTTCCCTGCAGAAAAAAATATAAGTTGATAAGTTTGACTTAAAAATGTAAATCATTAATCACTTACTATATGAAAAGTTCACTCACCATCTCCATTCTTGTGAAAATTTAACTTGATCAATTCTTTTGCACTGAGTTTCTGTAAAAATAAGTGCAATACAAACAAAATTAACATACACTACATGATTACAATATATTACCAGTCAAATGAATAACTTAAAAAATGAAGATAGCGTACCTCTCCTGTTACTGGGTTTATTCCATATTTCTTTAGAAATGGTACAATGTTCCTAGAAATGGTAAAAAATTTCAAATATTGTACATAAATTCTGCATTTAGAGAAATAATTCTCATGAGGACAGCTGTGAAAATAATGATCTTTAATCAAATACAGGTAAAGCCTGCTCATCATCCTGACATCCATAAGCTCATATACTGATTTGTAATAAAATCTGTGCTCAATATTTAAAAGGCAGGTTCTGTGACCATTATTTATCTGTGCTGAAAAAACACTGTCTCTGTAAAATTTGCTTGAAATCAATTATAAAATATGACAATTGCTAACTTCACTTAAATATCAAATGGTTTTTGCATTTGATGGTCCTCTGAAATTCTAAATCACACTAAGATAGAAAGTCTAAATAAACAAACAAAAACATATGCAAAAACCCATACAAATATGTTTATACATCACAAACATTTAAAGAAACTTACATCAAGTCAAAAACAACACCCTCCTTTGTGCATAGAGGATTTTCAAAGGGCTGGAATGAGAGGCTGGAAAAAAAACCCCAACAATATAATTAATATTTTGCAATTTTTCAGAATGTCATTAAAAATTGAAATGAATGTTTGCTGTATATCTTAAATATTATTTCATTAATTTAAGAAGTTACCTGCAGCAACTGAATGGAAGTCTCCTGAATTTGGAGTTCTCTCCTGTAGCTGACCGCCCCTTGTATCCTCCAAATTCTGTCCTCCACTCTGTATTTGTGAGATATCTTCAATAAAACATATCACCTCCACTATTTAGGTAATCTCAATTTGCATGGTTACATTGCCAAGTTAATTCAATTTTTATGATATTCAAAATGTTACAACTTCAAAAGATAAACAAGTTTTAAAATTGTAATTAAGGAGATAGAACATGAATAATTGTTTTACAAATCAATACTACTAGTACATTTCTGAACATCATTTACATCTGCATTCATACTCATTTACAGTCATTTTATTTGATTTTTTTTTTCATTATACACCTGTCACATCAAAATTATCAATCCTAAATTAAAATGTCAAAGCTTAAAACACTGAACAAAGTGCAGACAAGTGAAATGAAAGTAAGAAAAAGATTTACTACGTATGTTGAAAAAACTTGTATTCAGTCCTTTTTCTATTTACACTAGACAAAATTGTTAAAGCGCCATCACAGAGAATTAAATTTTGCTTTTCCAAAACTTGTTTATACAGTTAAGGTGCACAATTATTTTGTGATGATAAATACATTCTTAATCAGGATGTCAATTCTTTTTAGTACTTTACTTATACCGGACAAATGTAATATGGTTATTAACTACAAATTGAGGACAATTAGATTTTCTATTTAGACTTGTCACATAATGTGGCAGTCATTTTAGCAAATTTACTTACAGTATTTGGGTCACTTATAAATTCCAACAGTGCAAGGGCATAACCAATTTAACAAGATGTGTTTGTGAAACACTGATGCCCCCATTTGGCAACTTATAGCAAAGGTTAAACTTTCTCAAATGCAATTCAAATATGTTGGTACGCAAAGTAAGGTCTTGTCTCGAGGAATAAACCTGTCAAATATGAAAGCCCTAGCAGCAACCACTGAATAGATATGGAAAAGGTTAAAGTTTTTTCAAAAGTATGTCAAACATCAAGGTCAAGGTCAAAATTAATGGTGCCCAAGGAAAGGCCTTCTTCCAAGAAATACACAGATGAAAGCAGAAGCACCAATCGTTCAAAAGTTATGACCAAGGTTAAAGTTTTCCAAAAGTAAGTCAAACTCCAAGGTCAAAGGGTCAAAGTTGTTGATATCCAAAGGAAGGTCTTGTTACAAGGATTACACATGTGAAGTATGAAAGCCCTAGCACCAATTGTTCAAAAGTTATGGCCAAGTTTAAAGTTTGGTAAAATATTGCAAAACTGGGTCAAACTCCAAGGTCAAGGTCAAAAGGTCAAATATGGTGGTACCAAAAGAAAGGTCTTGTCACAGGGAATACACAGATGAAATATGAAAGCCGTAGCTCCAACCAATCAAAAGTTATGGGCAAGGTTAAAGTTTTTGCAGACAATCATACAGACAGACAGGGCAAAAACTATGTACCCCCGAATCTTCGATATGGAGGCATAAAAATCAAGGTTTAGTTCATGAATATTTTCAACACCCATCGTAGTTTGGGAAAAATGCAACATTCCTATATAGATTTAACTATTTCATTGTTAAAATTATTATATTTGTAAGACAGCATGCTGAATTCTTTGCTTGTCAACTGCACTAAATATAGAAATAATTCATTTTCAAGATTTCACCAGAATCACAGCACTGTTCAAATATCTTAATACTTCTAGATTTTATATGTAAAAACTCAATATGATCTATGGAGTGTATGCCCTTGCAATAGATTGGTTTATTAAGACCCTTACATTACTCTCCAATGTACCTGCATATAAAAACATGGCAGTATTAATTAAACAGGAAGTGCATGGAAAATATATGAATAAAATCATTTTAAAAAACCACATCGCATCTAAGGTAACTTTATCTTAATTATCTTCAAATAATATTTTATTTAATTATAAAATACACTTTTCTTTGTGAAAAATAACTTGATATGCCTCTCTCTGCATACAAACTGCATCAAGTTTTAGGGAATCATGTCACATCAACAAGTGCATCGCTATCAGTGACCTGTTTATACCTTGTTATGTAGGATTTAATTAACATTGAGAAAATGAGTTAAATTTTTGTCTTTTTATGGATTAATTTTTAGGGGAGGTAGAAGGCATGTACAAGCTTAAAATGTTTGTCAAATTAATTTGGTAGTTATTTTCACTGTAACTCATTTTGTATTCCTCAAAACATTTCTAAGCAACTTCATTCAGATAATTTGCTTCAATGCAACTATACAGGACATGCAACTATATAGGACATGCTCTAACTGTTGTGAGAATATGTTTTGAGACACAGTTATTAAATTATTCTAATTAAACACATCCAGCACAATGTCTTGATTAAGCTATATAGATTTAATCAGCTATATAGCTTGATTTAGCTATTTTATCACACTTTTTTTTCACTCTGTGTGTACTAAAAGTTGCACCTTTGTAAAGTGATAGTATTCAGCTTTGAATTCCTATAAAATTAATGCATGTAAAAATCACTCATCAAATTGCATCTCCTTGAGAGACATTGTACTCCAAGTTCTAAAAGTGTTGGGGCTATATCAAGCAATTTGATTTGTGACCACACAGTTACATCTTGAATGAAATTATAAAGGACTTAGGAGGTCAATTCTGAACAACATGACATTTATTTGGAAATAATTCAGCACAATGTGAAGCAATTATACTTATCCATGCCTCAACACACAGCACTCTACAGTTATCCAAACATGAAATACATCTCTTGCTTGAGTTGAAAGTATTCGAAAGCTGTAATGTTAGAACTATGTTTGATTTGGGCTGTGTTTTTGATATTACGTAGTGCATATACGAATTATCAAATACTTGCGACTTTTTGTCTTTTTCTTACAAGAAACATTATTGTGAAAAACTGCATATAAATAGCTTTATCAAGCCAATCTGAATAGCTTAAAAAAGCTATTTAGTTAATTCATGCTAAACAGCTATATTAGGGGATTGTGCTGGACCTGCTATTTACAGATGAGAATATTGAGTGGTTTATTAGAAATTCTGTCTTGTGTATAATGTAAAATATGTTCAATTGAAGAAACAAATAGATGGTCAGTTTGTCGTAAATATGATATTCCCATAATTACAAAGTAACATTTCCTCTTTATCAATATTATGAGGCAACGCTTTTATTCATTTTTAAATTAGTCTGCATCTACTCATCCTGTAAGTTCTTAAGTAAAGAGAACAAGGAAATTTCGCTAGTTTTATACTTACAATTTATCTTTTTGGTGTTGTTTCTTCCCCATTTTTCTGATATTTCGTCGATTATAATTACAGGAAATTGATATGGCTCACTAAAATTAAAATGGCACAAAAGAGACTGTGAGGTATTGCGATCCGAAATATAGAAAGGAAGTATTTTAAAATCATAAGTATTGTAAAATTACCTCCAAATAATAAAAAAAAACCCTAATTGATGTCACTTTATTTTTTCTTTAACCATCTATGAGGATTATGATTTTTTTCTATATTTTTCCCTTTCTCAAGACTGCATGATTTTTCCGCATATTAGGCGGATCTCTTTCGAGTTCCCTCGCACAAGTGAACAGAGATTGAGAGAACAAAAATGAAATTGGGTACAAAGATTAAATAATCGACGCAATGAAAAGTATTGTATCACAGTTAAAGGCTTCCCCAAAGGGGCAGCTGAAATATGAAAGAGATCCTAACATTGAAAAGGTATTTTAAATATTGATTGTGGTACGGTGCTTGGGTTTTAAATCGAAACGAAATGATGTATGACATAAAATGTTTCTTAGGCATGGTATTTATTTCCTTGAAATTCAAGCATGTGTGGCCTGTTTCAGACATTTTGGTAATCTCACATATTTACCAGAAACATAAATTTCAACAACTAGTGTCTGGATAAATCATCACAAGCTGGCTATTAGTTAAACTCAGTAACTGATCCCTAAAGTCAACTATCACAGATCATTTCATTTTGAAGCAATTTTACTTAACTGATCCGAAGGCTCAAGTGAGCTTTTCTGATCAAAGAGTGTTCAGAAATCACATGTTCATAAAAATCGCTAATGGTTGAGGGCCTTCTTCTTCTTCTTCCATACGAGTCAAACTCTAAGTAGAGCGTTATACTTGGGTACTGCCACGCTTCGGACAAGGCTAAAAACCCAATCAGGGCACTATGTACAATAAAAAGGTAAAAACAACTGGCGTGCTTAGGAGATGTTGGTAGACAGCTGGCACCTCGTGTATGAGTCCAGCTGTGACTTGAAGGACTCTAACGTTGGTGCTGAGGCAACTTCAGATGGTAAGTGGTTCCAGTCTAGTATTGTTCGCGGAAAGAAGGAGTAACAGTGTGCATCTATCCGAGTGTGTGGTAGACGGAACGTGTGGTTGCCTCGGGTCCTGCTGTCACTGGATGCCCTAGTGGCCCCTTATAACCTGCTTTATGATTTCTCATTTTATAATGTTGGCAGTTCTGAGTGTTTGTTGTCCGTTTGTCTTGCTTTGTCTGTACACTTTTCACATTTCGACTGCTTCAGTACCACTTCACTAATTTCAACTAATATTGCCACAAAAAATCCCTTGATGTCAGAAGGGGATTCAAGTTTGCTCAAATGAAAGGCGACTCTCTCTTTCAAGGGGATTAATTAGGAAATTAGTTAACATTTGGTGAAGTCATTTAAAAATCTTCTCAAGAGCAAGAAAAGATGAAACTTCTATGAAACCCTCATATCAAAATGTTGATTCAAGTTTTCAAATCATGGATCGGGGGAGGAGGGGTTATATTTGTGCTAGGAAAATATTTTTATTATCTTCTGATAACAGGGCCAAGGTGACTCATTTGAGTGTTGTGGCCCATGGGCCTCTTGTTCATTATTTAGTTTGCTCAGCTAATCTATTTTATATCATGAAACATTAAAATTATCAAAGATGGCTTACTTCAAATGTACTTTTTCCACTGAATCCTAAATCAATGGAATTGCAATTTCTGTTCAATCCACTAATAGATAACTACATGGATTTCTTGGACTGCTTTATATGTCTTAAATGTACTTTAAGTACACTGTGACTAATTTCAATAGAAAATTTGAGACCACTTGCATGGCGTAAATTAATCCCACACAAAAAAGGTACATCTACAGTTATTAGGGCATTATTTGCTTGAAGACTTTAGAATCGTTTCATTTTATACAGGAATACTTTGACAAATATCTGTCACCACCAAAGTTGAGCACACATCACTCTGAGGTGTCAACACAGAATAGTTTTTACGTACATGAAGATGAGGAAGAATTGTCAGAGAGGTAAGCTAAGGAAGATCGTAGCTAGTTCATGAACTAGCAGTCAAGGAATGTGGTTGATTACATTCCAATATACTGTTCCAATTATATGTCTGACCTCAGTGGTTAACTGGTTATGTTCCCAAAAGAAAACCCAGAATTTAATATTTAATGTGGGTAAACATGATTTTATACTCAAACATATTTATATACAGATTTATTGAATATTTCATATTTTTTTATTCAATTTCTAAATGTATATACATGTAAATTCAGTTCAATAATTTTCAGTGAGATGTCTGAGAGCTTCAGGAACCTCAAGGTTCAAATTCAAAACAAAGTCAAAAAACCAAATAAGGCAAAAGTCCAATTCACCACAGAGAATCACCATCCTGTCAGTGATATGACTATCCAGGTCTCTAACAAGAGAGCAGATCCTATGTATGGGGACACCAATAGAAATGCGGGTAAAATCAAAATAAGCTTCCGTAATGATCTTTGTAAAGATAACCACAAAAAGAAGGGGAGACTGACAGAGAAACCATTGGATCTTCCATGTGTTGATAAGGCTGCATCAGAGAAGATTCTTGTGTCACCTGAGTACAACAAAAGTAGACGAGGCATTCAAGATTATGAAGAGGAACGTATTAAAGAGTCAAAAGTAAGATAACTTGGTTAAAATATGTAAATAAAAAATTGCTGCAGGTCTATAGCTTAATGATTTGAAAAAAATTGGGATGATCAACCATAAACCTACTGATCCATGCATTCAAAAAAGTGTGTATTTATTCTGCACATACAAAACAAAAAACAATTCCAGAGTTATTCCTCCATATTTTAAGCTGCCATTTCGAAATGTTACTATCATATGTTGAATTTTCAAATACTTCATAAATGAAGTATATATTTAAATTGAGTACAAATTTAATATTAACATAGCTAACAATTTTAGAGTTAAAAAAGTATTAGGCCTAATGACTTAAAACATTGCACAAAGTATGAATGTATACAAGTCATATAGGAAGTGTGTTGGTCAATTGAACAAAACAAAAAAAATAGATATATAAAAAGAGTGAGTAAAATTCCTGTAATTAAAATGTACTTATTAAGATAAAATATATTAAACTTAAGTATATGAACTACTAATACAGTGAGGTGTGAAATCATTAACTTTAATAATTACACTGTTTTTGTTTCAGACTGAATTTGAAAGGAAAAGACGCCAATTTAAGGAAGCTGGGAGAAAAATCAACAGGAGAGCAGAAAGGCAAATTAACGAATATGAAAACAGAAGACAAGAAAAAGCAGTCTCTCAAAGGAAACAAATGGATCAGCTGGAAAAACAGGGGTAAATAAGCGAGAAAGGGAATGCATAACTAAAGAGAAGCAGGGGTAAAAAAAAAGGGGGGAAGGGAAGGCATAACTAAAGAGAAACATTAAAAAAAAAGTGGGAAAGGGAATGCATAACTAAAGAGAAGCAGGGGTAAAAAAAAAAGGGGGGGGAAAGGGGATGCATAACTAAAGAGAAGAAGGGGTAAAAAAGGGGGAAAGGGAATGCATGACTAAAGAGAAGCAGGGGTAAAAAAGGGGGGAAAGGGAATGCATAACTAAAGAGAAGCAGGGGTAAAAAAAAAAGGGGGGGGGGGAAGGGAATGCATGACTAAAGAGAAGCAGGGGTCAAAATAGGGGGAAAGGGAATGCATAACTAAAGAGAAATGGAGGCAAATAAGGGAAAGAGGGAATGCATAACTAAAGAGAAGCAGTTGTAAAAAAAGGGGGAGCATAAGTAAAGAGAAGCAGGGGTAAAGAAGGGGAAAGGGAATGCATAACTAAAGAGAAGCAGGGGTAATAAAGGGGGAGGGGGAATGCACAACTAAAGAGAAGCAGGGGTTAAAAGGGGGCAGGGGGAATGCACAACTAAAGAGAAGCAGAGGTAAATAAGGGAAGAGTGAAAAGAAAGAAGCAGTGGAAAAGGGGGCAGAGGCAATGCTTTAAAACAAAAGAGAAGCAGGGGTACAAGGGGGTGGGGCATAGATAATAAAAAAATCTAGGTAATTAAAGATTTACATGTACAAAGAATCTGTTCCAGTGACTCACTGGCAGTGAGTATTCACTTTGAAGAATCAAGTATGATAGTTTCTCATACCGAGAAATGTAAATATTAATTGTTTATTGCAGGTCAGCAGAGTTGTTGGAAAAGCAAATGAAAATGATACAGGGTTATATTCATCATGCAAAGGTCTGTAGTGAGTTTAATTAAATGTCATTGTATTGTTAATAATGGGTACATATACAATGACTAAATGTCATATTGTATTGTTTATATCATGTACATGTACAGTAATTAAACTAACTATCACATTGTATTAATACTGTCTGCTGTAGTAATTAAAGTTAAATTATTGTTGAAATATAAGGGAAAAAGTGTATATATAAAACAAAAACAAACTAAATGACTATATTTTATGACTATAAGTCCTTGTACTCCTAAACATGTGTGATGTTTATCCAAAAATCTGAAAAACAAAGAGATGACAGGACTTATAAATCTAGGTTTTATACTGTGTTAGTCTTAAATTGATTGATTTTCTTTTTAGATGGTGGAAAAGAAACAAGAGAGGATTCAAGAAGAAATGAAGAAGAAGTTTGTATTTATTTTACTTAGTTTGTTATAAAAATATCAGTACTTGTCTTTTGATGTACAGTGCATGCATTTGTTCAACGAGAGCATGACAGATACATGTATTTAGTCCTTGATCAAAATAATAGATTAGATTAAATTTTCAGTGGTTAAGAATAGGGATGGGTATCGCCCAAAATTTCGTATCGTGATATATCACGATTTTTTCCCCAAAATATAACGATAAAATCGTGATATTTCTACGTGGAATTTTTAATACAATTTCAAATGAATTTCTATAATTTTTCTTACAAATACGCTGTAAAAACATAACTTCACTTTTTTTTTCATTTTTGTTTTTTTAATATGACGCATGTTTGGATGCGGTAGTTTAACTTTTTTCAAAATTTTTTAGACTTCCTGTAAGTTCCAAGAAATAAATGAATAATTTCTGGAATTTATAAATATGTACAAAATACCGGTATTTTGGTCTATGTATCATGCAATATAAAATCACGATATACTGGTATACTGATAAAATCGCGCATCCCTAGTTAAGAAGGGCCTAAAAAATTAAAATATTTGATTCCCTTTTTAAGCACAGCTGTGGATATGGCTGGGGCATATAGTGTTTATCATGTCCTTCTGTGCAGCTATTGCTCCATTACACTAAATGAGGCATTGAGGATTATGTGTACCTGTAGACTATTTAGTGATTTCTCATAGAATGGAAAAGTGGGTCATGTTCAAAGCTGTTGATTAATTGCTTGAAAAACATGGATTATTTAGTTTACCTCTGTCCTTCCTCATTTTTCATGTGAACTATATATTCATTTTTCTGTACCAGAGAGGCAGAAAGGCTTAAGACGTTGGAGAAAGTCAAGAGCATTGTGAGTGACTCCAAGACTATCCTAGACAAAGTGAAAACAATGTACAATTCCTACGCTGCCAAGCTCCCAGAGAGTGTAGCTAAAGGCATTCACAGCGCTCAGCAGAGGTACAACATGTCACAACAGATAGTATCCCCTGAGGACAGCAAACCAGAGATAACAAATCAACAGCTCATCACAATCTCAGAAAACTTCAGATTTCTATCCAACACCCACGACTTTGTGAAACAGTCCATACGTAAGTGTTAGGCACATCTTAGATCTCCAGAGAGAGTGCGAAATATTAATCAATACAAGGTTTTTGTTGTGAAAAAATGTTATCAACTTTAGAATGTATTTAAATGGTGATGATTTTATGATTTCAGAAGAAGTGAAGGAGAAAGAGAAGAAGGAGGCACTAGAGGCCAAAATGAAGGCTGAGGAGGAGGCAAGGAAGAAGGCAGAGGAAGAGGCTAGCAAGCGAGCCGAGGCTGCCTCTTCTGTAAGAATACATCAGTGAAATACCATCAGTGCAAAGATTAGAAAAAAAATGATAAATTGCACTACATCAGAACTGGCATTGAAACTGCATAACTTAATTATTTTTTTTGAAGGTTGCTTCTCCTGGTCAGCCTTTGATTTCCTCCACTCCAATACCAGGAGCAACCTCAACAGTGACCCAAGAGACACAGGGGGCAACAGGTGGGGTCTCAGTGGCATCCACTACCGCAGCTCCTACACCAGTCACACAAATCAGACCAGCAGGTACATGTTAATACATTTGTATTGTAGCCATCAGTGACTGTTTTTTACATGTATATACTAAAAATGAGTTAACCATATATACTCACCTATAAGTCAAATATTTGGGAATAAATTTTGGTCCAAAACTCTATGTCCAACGTAAAAGAAAGTTCTAGAAATATCGGTATATTTCAGAGAAATATAGTTAATTTGAAACAAATCCATTTATCGTTTATAAAGGCCAGAATTTTATCTTATGCAGGAAGGGAAGATCTAAGGATACCATATGCATAAAACTCAAGTTTTTACAGCTTTTAATGATCTTATATTTGTTTGAATTGTTAATAAAAGATCAGATATAGATATCATATCCCAAAATATACTTGGAAACATGGGTAAATTCAATAAAATATTAATCTGAAATCGGAACAGATTCTGGCAAAAAATGCAATGACTTATAAGTGAGTCAGTGGCAATTTCCTCCAAAGTAATCTGCAAATATACATCCGACTTATAAGTTAACTAACTTGAGGTGAGTATATACAGTAGGGCTATTTCATCAAAACATATGAGGTACCCGGGAAAGGCACTTTAAAATTTCAGTAACCACCCATAGAAGCAAAATATTTACTTGAGTGACTGACCTAGAATCATTTAAGTATTTCCCTATCACCCCTGGAAGGAAATAAGTTGTATCTATCATGCTCTGTTTTTATTTGTTGCCATTATGCTAGTTATTCATAACTTAACACCCTTCATAGACTATACTTGTATTACAGAGGGAGAAGTTTTATGTGTGGACATGGAAGCATTCCAAGAGTACACCAGACTTCAACAAATGCTAAAAGATGCAGAAGCAGCCATACAGGTCTTGTCCTCCACTCCACAGGTAGGATTAACTAATAGCCAATCAAAATCCTCTACATCACAGGTAGGAATAATCAAAAGCCAATCAAAGTCCTCCACACAACAGGTAGAAATAAACAATAGCTAATCAGATTCTGCCATACCACAGGTAGGAACAACAAGTAGCCAATCCAAGTCTGCCAAACCACAGGTAGGAATAACCAATAGGCCATCAGGATCCTCCAAACCACAGGTAGGAATAATTAATAGCCAATCAAATTCCTCCACATCATGGATAGGAATAACCAATAGCCATTCAAATTCCACCACACCACAGGAAGGAATTACCAATAACCAATCAAAAGTCATCAAGTGGTAAGCTTGGTAAATGACCAGTCAAAGTCTTCAATGGTAGGCTCAACTAATGATGACTCAATGACTTCAATGGTAGGCTCAACCAATGATTAATTGAAGTCAAACAAGTAGGCTCAACCAATGATCATTCAAAGTCAAAGAAGTAGGCTCAACCAATGATCAATCAAAGTCAAAGAAGTAGGCTCAACCAATGATTAATCAAAGTCAAACAAGTAGACTCAACCGGTGATTAATCAAAGTCAAACAAGTAGACTCAACCAATGATTAATCAAAGTCAAAGAAGTAGACTCAACCAATGATTAATTAAAGTCAAACAAGTAGACTCAACCAATGATTAATTAAAGTCAAACAAGTAGACTCAACTGGTGATTAATCAAAGTCAAAGAAGTAGACTCAACCAATGATTAATTAAAGTCAAACAAGTAGACTCAACCAATGATTAATTAAAGTCAAAGAAGTAGACTCAACTGGTGATTAATCAAAGTCAAAGAAGTAGACTCAACTGGTGATTAATCAAAGTCAAAGAAGTAGGCTCAACCAATGATTAATCAAAGTCAAACAAGTAGACTCAACCAATGATTAATCAAAGTCAAACAAGTAGACTCAACCAATGAACAATCAAAGTCAAACACGTAGGCTCAACTAATGATCATTCAAAGTCAAACAAGTATGCTTAACCAGTGATTAATCATAGTCTAAGAAGTAGGCTCAACCAGTGATCAATCAAAGTCAAAAAAGTAAGCTCAACCAATGATCAATAAAAAGTCATACAGGTTGGCTCAACCATTGATCAATCAAAGTCAAAAAAGTAAGCTCAACCAATGATCAATAAAAAGTCATACAGGTAGGCTCAAATAATGGTCAGTCAGAGTCAAACAAGAAGCCTCATCAACTAATGGTTAGTCAAACAAGTAGACTCAATCAGTGATCAATCAAAGAAAAGTAATTCCTGTCACTTGTAGTGTAGTCTTATTAGTTTAGATTAACAATTGCTAGCAACCTTTGAACTACATCATTATTGAATGGAAGGTAATGGCAATTGATCTGTCTTAAACAGTTTAAATATTCATCCAAGACTCACCCCCTTAAATAAAATGAGCCCCCATTACAGGGGCCAAATTATATGGAGGTATGGAGCTATGCTATACATCATTTGTTAGACTTATCTGTGAAGTAAAGTATGTGTATTTCATATGTACATCGGTCTTATGATATACGAACACTTAGAAAATTGCAATACATGTATATTTATTTAATCTTTGGCTGATTTTAGCTGAAGAAGATGAAGTTTGATCTCCAGAAGGCAGTGAACATCCCTGTCAATGCTATATCAGCCGTCAGTGGGGCTCACCTTAGAGACAAACTACAGCGCCTCCTAGTGTTACTCTCGGGACAGCAAGTGGAGATAACCAATAAAAGAGTCTCAGTCAGAGACCACCCAGCTGCTTTACCATTCTGTAAATACCTCATTGCTAAAATGGTAGTGGTGAGTGTTTCATTCATTTTTCTCAATTAAGATCTCTCTCTTAACCAAGTACAGTCAAACCTTGTTATCTTGAACTGGATGGGACCGGGAAAAAACTTTGAGGTACCCGAAGGTTCAAGATATTGAGGGTAAAATACTTCAAGAAAAAGTGCTTGGGACTTCTAAAAAAACTTCAACCTACCCATGGTATTTGAGATATCCATGTTCGAGATGTTAAAGTTCTGCTTTATTATGGGAGTATATATATATATAGATATTGAAATTATAATATCATAGATGTACGATTTTTAATGTGGTGTTCTTGCCTTTTTTATTTTTGAAAATATTTTCATATACATGTTAATGATTTTATTTCTTGACTTATATATTAATTAATTTTTCTGAAATACATGCAGACAGAAAATTAAGAAAAGTTTAAAAGAACTGAATTTGCTCTTTGTCTCATTACTAGTGTAATTTGTAAAAAGCCTAATGTTTATGTTCTGTTGCTTACTTTTCAAAAGAGAAAAGGTGAGGAGCAGGTATCATCTATCTTTGAGTCTGCCTTCCCTCTGGCGGCTGTGACGGTGGGGCTACTGGCACAGCACCCAGACATCCGAGACCTTCTTCTGGCTCACTTCCACTCCCTGTGTCCATACACTGTCCCCTACCACATCCCCCGGCAGGATCAGCAATCAACAGAGGAATACCATAAGTATGTATACAATCAGAACATATGATAAGATGTCAGAGTTAAAGTACGTACACAATCAGAACACGTTAAGATGTCAAAGTTAGGTATGTACAAAATCAGAACACATTAAGATGTCAAAGTTAGGTATGTACAAAATCAGAACACATTAAGATGTCAAAGTTAGGTACGTACACAATCAGAATATAATAAATATCAAAGTAAGCAATGTATCACTTGAGTTTTCATAGTATTTTTCTCTTCTACCACATTGCAAAAGTTTGAAATGCAAAATATTAAAGTCTGTTACAAATGAATAAATTGAAGAAATTAAAAATTATGGAAATTGTTTTCAAGCTACCTTTTGACTAAATTGTAAAGATGTTATAAATTTGTAACTGGATGAATAATTCTGAACAAAATCCACCTGACAGTGTGTAGTCCAAAGATCATAATAGAACAAAAATAAATTATAAAACAAAATGATAATTCACATACACCTGTAGTCTTTATTGGCTCATATCTTGATATTATGTAATGTAGATAAATTTGAAGAAAATAAAAAAAAATACTGGGGTTTATTCTTTATTTCATGCTTTGAAATTTATGTATCTTGACAGAGCACTGGGCTACAAATATGACAGTGATGGGAACGTTGAAAAACAGGACAAATTTCTGAAGCGAATGTCAGGAATCATGAGGTTATACACCTCCGTAATGGTCTCTTCTCCTCCTCGGCAACAAAGTAATCACCCATTCGGAGTTGAGCATGCCTGGATATGGTTGTCAAGGGTGATGAACATTCAGCCTCTTCCTGATATCACGGCTACCATGGTGTTTGACCTCTTAGAAGTCACAGGACATGCTTTATTTCACAAATATAAAAAACAATTTTTGAAAATGCTTCATATATTGATACGTGAATTTCTACCGAAACTGAAATCAGTAGCATCATCAGGAGGAGGTGGCCCTGTATCTCGACTTGAGGCGCTGATAAAGGCTAGCATACAGAGACAGGGACAAATTCCACCACCAGAGGGCCTACTTCCTCCAAACTTCTGGTCCTCTTAATAATGGAGGCCCTGATAAGATTAGGAGACAAAGACAAATTCCAGTACCAGAAGGCCTGCCCCCCCCCCCCCAACTTTTGGTCCTCCAAATAGTGACTGTGGTCACTTGATGATATGTACAATGTATATGCATGCACATGTTGTATATGTCAGTTTAAGTATACTGTATATTATAGAGCTGATGCTTCTTAACAAAAGAACTGGTATTTATAATCAAAATCATGTAAAGACTATGAGTTTTTATTGAATTCTTCAGCATTATTGATACCATCATTGTAAAAATTGTTTACCAGTGATATCAAGTTGCATAAATAATCATTAAGCTCTAACGTTGCTTGATTCCAGATTATCTGTTTGTACATGCATTGCAACATTTTTTTTTAATCATGTTCATTATATGAGAGGCTTTGCTTAGTGCCAATAAACTATTTGCCATATATCATTGTTCAATTTAAAGTTGAGATTGATTCTCATATTTTCATTTGCAGCTTGTTTCTATAACATGTAGATTTTGACTAGATGGTTTAGATTATATAGTAAACTTTTATCAATATTAGATGAGTATCAACTGAAGCCTGTGTGAGTTTTTCTTTTTGTGGGGGAAACATCAGATTACAAAAAAAAAATGGAGAGGGCTACATTATCGTTGCTAACATATAGAATGTACAGTAGTGATAAAGCTACAAGTGACATATAGACTACAGTAACAATGACGCTACAAGTGACATACAGACTGCATAGTAGTGATAAAGCTACAAGTGACATATAGACTGTACAGTAATGATAAAGCTACAAGTGACATATAGACTGTACAGTAATGATAAAGCTACAAGTGACATATAGACTGTACAGTAGTGATAAAGCTACAACTGATGTTTAGACTGTACAGTAATGATAAAGCTACAAGTGACATATAGACTGTACAGTAGTGATAAAGCTACAACTGATGTTTAGACTGTACAGTAATGATAAAGCTACAAGTGACATATAGACTGTACAGTAGTGATAAAGCTATAAGTGACATATAGACTGTACAGTAGTGATAAAGCTACAAGTGACATATAGACTGTACAGTAGTGATAAAGCTACAACTGACATATAAACTGTACAGTAATGATAAAGCTACAAGTGACATATAGACTGTACAGTAATGATAAAGCTACAAGTGACATATAGACTGTACAGTAGTGATAAAGCTACAAGTGACATATAGACTTTACAGTAGTGATAAAGCTATGAGTGTCATATAGACTGTACAGTAATGATAAAGCTACAAGTGACATATAGACTGTACAGTAATGATAAAGCTACAAGTGACATAGACTTTACAGTAGTGATAAAGCTACAAGTGACATATAGACTGTACAGTAGTGATAAAGCTACAACTGATGTTTAGACTGTACAGTAGTGATAAAGCTACAAGTGACATATAGACTTTACAGTAGTGATAAAGCTATGAGTGTCATATAGACTGTACAGTAATGATAAAGCTACCAGTGACATATAGACTGTACAGTAATGATAAAGCTACAAGTGACATATAGACTGTACAGTAATGATAAAGCTACAAGTGACATAGACTTTACAATAGTGATAAAGCTACAAGTGACATATAGATGTACAGTAGTGATAAAGCTACAAGTGACATAGACTGTACAGTAGTGATAGAGCTACAAGTGTCATATAGACTGTACAGTAGTGATAAAGCTACAACTGATGTTTAGACTGTACAGTACTGATAAAGCTATAAGTGACATATAGACTGTACAGTAGTGATAAAGCTACAAGTGACATATAGACTGTACAGTAGTGATAAAGCTACAAGTGACATAGACTGTACAGTAGTGATAAAGCTATAAGTGACATATAGACTGTACAGTAATGATAAAGCTACAAGTGACATATAGACTGTACAGTAGTGATAAAGCTATAAGTGACATATAGACTGTACAGTAATGATAAAGCTACAAGTGACATAGACTGTACAGTAGTGATAAAGCTATAAGTGACATATAGACTGTACAGTAATGATAAAGCTACAAGTGACATATAGACTGTACAGTAGTGATAAAGCTACAAGTGACATATAGACTGTACAGTAGTGATAAAGCTACAAATGACATATAGACTTTACAGTAGTGATAAAGCTACAAGTGACATATAAACTGTACAGTAGTGATAAAGCTACAACTGATGTTTAGACTGTACAGTAGTGATAAAGCTATAAGTGACATATAGACTGTACAGTAGTGATCAAGCTACAAGTGACATATAGACTGTACAGTAGTGATAAAACTACAACTGATGTTTAGACTGTACAGTAGTGAAAAAGCTATAAGTGACATATAGACTGTACAGTAGTGATAAAGCTATAAGTGACATATAGACTGTGCAGTAGTGAAAAAGCTACAAGTGACATATAGACTGTACAGTAGTGATAAAGCTATAAGTGACATATAGACTGTACAGTAGTGAAAAAGCTACAAGTGACATATAGACTGTACAGTAGTGATAAAGCTACAACTGATGTTTAGACTGTACAGTAGTGATAAAGCTACAACTGATGTTTAGACTGTACAGTAGTGATAAAGCTACAACTGACATATAGACTGTACAGTAGTGATAAAGCTATAAGTGACATATAGACTGTACAGTAATGATAAAGCTACAAGTGACATATAGACTGTACAGTAATGATAAAGCTACAAGTGACATATAGACTGTACAGTAATGATAAAGCTACAAGTGACATATAGACTGTACAGTAGTGATAAAGCTACAAGTGACATATAGACTGTACAGTAATGATAAAGCTACAAGTGACATATAGACTGTACAGTAATGATAAAGCTACAAGTGACATATAGACTTTACAGTAATGATAAAGCTATGAGTGACATATAGACTGTACAGTAGTGATAAAGCTACAACTGATGTTTAGACTGTACAGTAGTGATAAAGCTATAAGTGACATATAGACTGTACAGTAATGATAAAGCTACAAGTGACATATAGACTGTACAGTAGTGAAAAAGCTACAAGTGACATATAGACTGTACAGTAGTGATAAAGCTACAATTGACATATAGACTACAGTAGTGATAAAGCTATAAGTGACATATAGACTGTACAGTAGTGATAAAGCTACAAGTGACATATACACTGAACCAAACTTCTAAGTGTTCACCTAACATTTTTTAAGTTATAAAGAACAAATGCATACAATAAATAATTTCTTTAATTCATGGTTGATGATGCATATTTCAGTTCGATGTTGCGTAAATTTCATGTAGGTATCTCGTCAGACTTTAAAGCAAAGTGTCAAGGACATGATGTACCCTCAAAATGAAAATTCACATAAAATAATCTCTATGGAGTAAGACCACCACTCGTTCAAATTATTGGAAGACATCCTTTTCTCATGCATATTATGTACCCTTGAATAGGAGGTTGATCTATCTGCTGCCACACCTACTGCATGGATCTATCTAAACCGTTGAAATTGTGGGGGGGGGGGGGGGGGCTTGGACATTCCTTTTGAAAGTCCCAAATGTGTTCAATGGGATTATCCGGGTATTTGACAGGCCAGTGCATCACACAGATGCCTTTTTTGTCAACACTTAGACCCTCCTTGGGCGTTACGCAAGTAAGTGTACCTCTTTAAGGTCAAGATCTAGTAAATGAAAGGTGCCTACAGATTTCTCAAATTTGAGAAATAAATTCCTTTAATGGTGCTTTATAACTTTAGCTTGGTCAGATAAGGTGTTTCGGGGC